TCCCTGTAGTATGTTATGCTCAATTTAGATCTTTAGAATAAATATTGAGGAGTAAAATAGCTGGGTCTTTTGATGGTTCCATTCTTAGGTTTTTGAGAAATCTCCATAATACTTTCCAGAGTGTTCACACTAATTTGCAGTTCCACCAACAATGTATGTGTGGGCCCCCACCCCATTCCCACCACCATTTATTATTATTTTTATTCTTGATAATTACCATTCTGACTGGAATGAGATAAAATTTTAGTGCAGTTCTCATTTGCATTTACCCGATTGTTAAGGATATCAAATGCTTTTTCACATAATTTCTGTTTATTCTTTTGAGAAGTGTGTGTTCAGGTCTTTTGCCCTTTTGTTAATTGGTTATTTATTTTTTGTGTTAATATTTTTTAATTCTTTATATATTCTGGATATCAGAGGAGCAAGTGGCAAACATATTCTCCCATTCTGTAACCTCTCTCTTCATTCTTTCCATTGTTTCCTTTGCTATGAAGAAGATTTTTAATTTGATGATGTCTGACTTACTGAGTTTTGGGTTTATTTCTTGTGCTTTGGGAGTCATGTTAAGAAAGTCAACACCTGTGGAAATATGTTGGAGTGTCAAGCCTACATTGTCTTCTAGCATTTGTAGGGTTTCTGGTCGAATTCCTAAATATTTGATCCACTTTAGGTTGACTTTTGCACAGGGTGAGTGTGAGAAGTCTATTTTCATTCTTTCCCACATGAATATCCAAGTTTCCTAACACCAGTTGTTAAAAGGTCTATCTTTTCTCCAAGATACGTTTTTGGCAACTTTGTCTGGTATCAGATGACTGTGTCTGTGTGGGTTTGTCCTTTTGTTTTCTGTTTCATTTCATTGGTATTTATGTCTGCTTTCATGCCAGTATCATGTGTTTTTGTTTCTATAGCTATACAGTATAATTTGAGGTCTGGTATTGTGATACCTCTAGCATTGTTATTGTTGCTCAATATTGCTTTGTCTATTCTTATTCTCATATTTTTCAAATGAATTTTAAAACTTCTTTTATCATTCTGTGAGGACTATCAGTCATATTGTGATGCTGATTGCATTGAATCTATATAACAGTTTCGGTAGAATGGCCATTTTGACAATATTGATTCTGCCTTCCAAAAAAATGGGAGATCTTTTCATCTTTTAGGTCTTCCTCAATTTCTTTTCAATGTTCTATGGTTTTTATTATACTGGTCCTTCACCTCCTTGATTAGATTCTTCCTCAAGTATTTTTTTTGAGGTTATGGTGAATGGAATAGTTTTCCTAATTTGTCCTTTACCTGATTTATTATTGTAATATAGGAAATCAGTTGATTTATGTATGTTTATCTTGGTCTTGCCACTTTAATAAATTTGCTTATCAGCTGTTGAAGTATTCTGGTAGATTTTTTTGAATCTTCTAAATATAATATCATGTCATCAGAAATCAGAGATAATTTAACTTTTTCTTTTCCTACTTATATCCTTTTACTCTTTTCCTTTCCTGATTGCTCTGTTGTTTTAAGGACCATGCTGAAAAGGAATGGTGAAAGTGGACATCCTTGTCTTGTTCCTGTTTTTAGTTTTTGGCTGTTCAGTTTGATGTTAGCTTTGTGTTTATCATGGATACCCTTTACCATGTTAAACAATACCTTAAAATAAATTTTTTCGTATTTTCAGATTGGAGTAACCACATAATAACCCTTAAAAGCATGATTTGCCTTTTGATCCCATGCCATACAAAAACCAGTGGTTTGATTTTGCATCAAATTTTTAAGAACATAATATTATGTGAATCTTCTATGTCATGTTGTAGGAAAATTATGGTTATTCTTTTGGTAATATACAATACAATAAATGCTTTAGGAAGGCACATATGTAATATTAATCAAACTGATTTAATGATTCTTGGGGTAATTCCATGTGTCTTCAAAGCTTTATAGGTACATAGTCTCTTCTCATACACAAAGTCAATCTCTAGTATATTTACAATGTGAAAAAATGTACATAGGTTTCACTAACTATTGATATATGTCTGATATAAAAATGAAAATTGCATTAGTTATTTAAAAGTGTCAAATTATATGGTCTTCTTTCTCACCCTCCTTCACTTTCTTCACTCATTTATTTCTTCACTAATTCATTTAATGAACATGATGAGGCACTGTTGTGATAGATCTGTAATATTCATGGCACAGTGAACAACAAGCAAACTCATGCTCCAAAGACACTACCCCACAACATCCTATCAGATAAGAAAAATGGTGAGGATGTTTATATTCACATTTAAACATCATAATAAAACTTAGCTCCTCTGTATTTTGGTTGAAACACCAAAACGTGGACACTATTACTTTAATATTTCCTGCATCACCTGTTAGGAACTGCAGGTTTGTGCATAATAGCAGGAAAGAGGAGTAGTGGACTATAAATACAGGTAAGGAATCTTTGTGGGGGGAGTTACAGTCTCATACAGGAACAAAAGTTCATTTTAGAAGATTGGTGGTCAAGAAATTACTTGACATCTTAGAAGTTAATAAAACAGATATCTTATTCTCAATCACTAATTACCATGTTCTTTGAAAATATCACATAATTTCTTATGCAAGATAAATATCACCAAAACCTACTGCTATATCAGAGGTGTGTCATTAAATTGGTATCTTAATGGTGTACCCAGGCAGTTACAAATATGGAAACTGTGACTGGTTATAAGATCTATAGAATTTTCTTGGCATTGGAGCTTCATCATGAGAAGCAGGATTTCTTCTCTTAATTTTTTTTTAATTTTTATTACAAGTACTAGCATATATTAACTATACAAAATGGGTTTTTCTGTGATATTTTCATAAATGCACATAATACATTTGATTGTGTTCACCATTATTATTGGTTTAAATCTACCACAAAGAAATCTGTGCAAATAGAGAAGATAATGAGAAATGATGTATAGATTCAGAAAAGCAGTAGGCTAAGAACATGTCCCCCATATAACTGCAATGAAGTATGTAATAGAAAATAGAGAAGTCTATGAAAATTTGTGAGAAGAAAAATAATATTGGACGAAAAGATAATTTCATGGAAATTGTATATTCTGGACACAAAGGGAATAAAATTTCAATAAGCAAAGTTTTATGTTCATGAACAGATGTTGCATGGATCTTTTAACTTCTTTAATGCCACAAATCAGTTTTCTATTATGGAAGGTATTATCAAAAAGTCTGCACTAGATTAAGTGAAAATGTATATGAATTACATTGCATGTGGAAATTGCTCAGCTACAAACATTAGGTATTATTATCAATTTTTATATCAGGTTTTAATGTTTTACCCTTATAGTCTTCATTGGAAAAAATGTCTTTATAAAAGAATTCTCTAAGAATGATGAAGAAATGAAAAGCAAAGAGCAATGAGAAAAAATATCTCTTAAAGAGTTAGAAATTATATAGAGATAGTTTCCTTTATTAAAAAGAGAGAGATAAAGAGAGAGAGAGAGAGAGAGAG